ATTACCCAGGTGTTTAGGACCCCAGATCTCTGCGGCCAAGTCCCTAAAGTACCAACCTGCAATCTGTCCACAGGAGGACCCAAGGAATCTTAACGTCCTCAGTGTCCTGCTCCCCGAATACACTGGAATCTAGGCCCCAGCCCCCACTCCCTTTTGGCCTGAGAGTCTGCACCCTTGGGGTCTTGAGAAGGGAGGGGGTGTGTCAGCGGCTCACACGGTGGTGACACGGGCCTGGGCGGGGCCTGTGGGGCTCACATGGAATCTAGGAATGAGGAATGTGCCCGAGGAATAGAACCCCTTCCTGTCCCTTCCTAATCGTGGGGGAGGGAGGCAAGAGGAGGTTCGGCGTGCGGCGGGTGGGGAACTACAGAGGAATTACAGAGCGCTTTTTCTCTCTCTCTCACCTGCCCACCCCACCCCTCATCTCCTCTCTCTGAACTTCTGTATCTCTTTTCTTTGGATGTGTGTGGTGCCCATCCCTTCCCGGGCCTCTGTCCCCTATCTCTCTGTGTCGGTGGCTCCCTGGGTGCCTCTCCCTGTCTTTTTCTCTCTGGGTATTTCTTTCCATTCTCCCTCTTTGCCTTCCTTGCCTGACTTGTCTCTCCCCTCTGACACTCGGTCCCCCCCCCCCTTCTCTGGATCTCTGTCATCTCTGGGTCCCTATACTTCCTCTCCTATTTGGGGGGGGGTGTCTCTTCTATTTCCCTCCCCATCTCTATCCCACCCCGTGTTTCCCTGGTCCGCAGGTCTCCTGAAGGAAAAGGAGCGCAAGGTGCCCGCAGCCACCGTCCCGGGGCCCGGCCTGGACACGGCGGGTCCTGCAGATGCCCCGATTGGGGCTGTGGGGGGCGGCGGGTCCCCGCGGGGGCGCCCGGGGGCAGTGCCTGGCCCGGGGCTCTTGGCACCGCTGCTATGGGAGCGCACGCTGCCATTCGGGGACGTGGAGTACGTGGACCTGGACGCCTTCCTGCTGGAGCACGGGCTCCCGCCCAGCCCGCCGCCCCCCGGAGGCCCATCGCCCGTGCCCTCGCCCGCGCGCACTCCTGCACCCTCCCCGGGACCGGGCTCTTGCGGCTCCGCTTCCCCTCGCTCCTCGCCAGGGCACGCCCCCGCCCGGGCTGCCCTGGGGGCCGCCGGCGGCCACCGCGCAGGTGCGGCGAGGGGCGGGGCTGGCGGCGAGGGGGCGGGGCTGGCGGCGAGGGGGCGGGGCTTGGAGCTGGGACCGTGGGATCCTGGCTGCCGGCAGGGGATTTTGGGTGTCCTCGTCTTGAAAGATCCAAGTTCTGTCCCCCCCCCCCCCCCCGACTCCCCACCTCCTCGTCCCCGCTCCCCTAAATAGGTCAGGGGCTGCTGATCTTTCTGGATCCGTGGGGAAGGAGGGACTCAGGATCCAAAGTTTCCAGAAGCCTCTCCAGGAGATAGCGTGGGTTTTTGTTTTGTGAGACCAAAGGGTCCCGAGGCTTCAGGACAAGAGCCGGCCTGGGGACTGGCCCCGAATCTGAGCTCAGAATGGGTGGCACTGGGTTAGGACGGAACTCCGACGATCTCTTAAGATCGGGAACCTCTGAGGCCGGGGCTGGGCGCAGATTTGGGTTGCCCAGGTAAAAGGAACCTGCACCCTTGTTCGCAAGAGTCCCGTAGAGGGGAGAAGATCGGGAGGGAATCTTCATTCTGGAACTTTCCAGGGGAGCTCCCAGCATTCCTAAGGCAGGAGGGCCTGGGAATCTCAGAATCGTGGGCACCCCAGTGGCAAAGGGCTTGGGTGCATAGGAATGGGGCCGGTTCCGATGCCGCCCCCCGCCACCCCGACGAATGGGAGGGTCGGGTCGGGGATCCTTGGAGTAAGAAGTTGGAGCGGAAACCGGAAGGAGCGAGGGGAAAGGTGAGGCCCTTGAGGGCGCCACGGGGGGGGGGCCTTCAGGGGGGCAGCTACAGGTCTGAGATTCCCGGGTACCCCTGCCCCTGGCCCCGACCTCCAGGCAGGAGCGAGGGCTAGGTCTCCCAGCGGCACATTCCCGCGCCACGTGAGCCCCTCCCTCCCCTGCGCGCGGCGCATGCGCCGACACGCGCGCGGGGGGGCGGGGCCCGGGAACGTGAGCGCGTCCCGGCCGGGGGAGGGGGAGGAGGGAAGCAGGCGGCGGCGGCACGTGACTCGGCTCTGAACCCGTGTCCTCAGTTGGCCCCAGCTTGTTGGCTTTTAAAGGTACAGGCGCTTCCTGTTGCCCCAACCTCCAGAAACTTCAGAGCCATTTCCACTCACTGCTCAGTAATCCTTTGCGAGCGAATTGCTCTTAAAAAGAGTTCAACTGGAGAGTCTTTTTTTTTTTCTTTTGGAGGTTCTTTTTCCTTGCACAGCCTGAGGTTTTAGCATTGCCCAGAGGTTCAGGCTTTAAGGTAGACTACGTGGGGGACATAAACTAAGTGCATATCTTTAGAGGCTTAAAAGCTATTACCTGGATTCGTGTTACTTAAGGCTAATTTATGAGCTGATGTTTCCCTGTTTGCAAAAGTACGGGTTTCTCCTTGCCTAAGCATCTTTGTGTCTTAGGGAACTTTCATATTTTATATTACATAGGTCTGTGCCTGGCAGACAGGCAAGCTTTAGGGTACTCTCAGGAGGGCCTTCCACGTGCTGGATTAAAATGCCTGGGCAAGGGGAGGTTGGGTAGCTTTTGGGACCCTAGTCCCCTAAATCAATGTATGTTCAAGTGACCTGTTCTGTTTGTCAAGGGGCGACCTCTCGGGACACACCTAGTCCTGTGGACCCAGACACAGTGGAGGTGCTGATGACTTTTGAACCTGACCCTGCTGATCTCGCCCTGTCAAGCATTCCAGGCCATGAGACCTTTGATCCTCGGAGACACCGATTTTCTGAGGAGGAACTTAAGCCTCAGCCAATCATGAAGAAGGCGAGGAAAATCCAGGTGCCAGAGGATCAGAAGGTGAGCCACACAAGGGATGTGGGGCCCAGGCCTGGCCTGGGACAGAACCACAGCTAAGGAAGAGTCTTTGCTCACAGTTGGCCTGGATTTCTCACTGGGATGATCATTCAGGTGTTCTTGGCCTACATCCGAAGATTGAGACCTTGAGGCCCACAGGGGCTGGGGCTTTGGTTTGGGGTTCATGAAAGTGTCTCAGCAGGCTGGGCTGGGTCTTGATTGTTCAGGCTTGGAGTTTCTCTGAGTTTCAACCATTCAGAACCCCCAGTGGAGGTTCCAGGAGGCCCAGCTGCCAAGGACAGCTTCATTAGCCACTCAGCCTTGCTTCACTGTGGGGGCATCCTTTGGAGTGATCGCCTCTTGCCCTGGAGGCTCAGGCTTTGCTACTCTATTTGTAAGAAGCTGGAATTTCCTATGAGCAGCCTACACCTGGGTCTGAAGAGTATGGTTGGGGTGGTGACTGAATTCTTGTTTTTGTGCTGTGGTCTTCTTGATCTCCCTTGCCTGTGGGTGGGGCACAACCATCTGCAGATGGATAAGAGCCCCAGAGTCTAGACTGATAGCTTCTCTTCTTGATTCTGCTTCCATAGTCTGGGCCCGTAGATGTATTCTAACAAGTAGCAACTAGCCTGAATGAAATGGGAGCCAAGGGAAGCATTTTCCGTAGCTGGCAGTGGTCCTTGGTAACTGCATTCTGGGATTGGAGGACCCAAGGGGAGGTCTCAGGGGCCAGGGTAGCTCTCTGGCTTCGGAGACTCACCACTTACAGCTCACTTTTCTTTGCCAAGGAGCCATGAGGTTGCCTTGGCAACTAGGTCAAAAGAGTCCCAGGGTTTTAATGACAGCAAACTCCCATCATTGGAGGGCCTACCTAAGCTTTCCTTAGCAACCAGGGAAGGTGATGGATAATAGGCTGTGGTTAAGTCCTCAGGCCCTGAAGGCCTGGTTGCTAGGGAACAAGCATCCTTAGCAACAGGGATCTAACTTAAGGCCCCCAGCTGGGTGATGGGGGGGGGGTATGCTTTGCTGCAGTGGAGACTTGGGACTTGTGTGCTTTAGCTCATTTGCTTGGGATCTGTTCTCTTTAGTAACCAGGGCCCTTGAGATTCTTGGGTACCCACCCCTGCGAAGATCGGGTATCCGCCAGGCTCTGCTGCAGAGTGAGGGAAGGGGGGGCGGAGGTGCCTAGAAAGATGCTCAGCACCCCCATGCCCGGTCACCCCCAGGATGAGAAATACTGGAGCCGGCGGTACAAGAACAACGAGGCGGCCAAGCGGTCTCGGGACGCCCGGCGGCTCAAGGAGAACCAGATCTCGGTGCGGGCGGCCTTCCTGGAGAAGGAGAACGCCCTGCTGCGGCAGGAGGTGGTGGCCGTGCGGCAGGAGCTGTCCCACTACCGCGCGGTGCTGTCCCGCTATCAGGCCCAGCACGGGGCCTTGTGAGCCGGGCCGCCCGCAGGTGGAGCCGCCTCCTCTTCCTCCGGGCTCAGAACCCCCCGCCCCCATCCCCGCCCCGCGGCTGGGGTCCGGCCAAGCGGGGTGTCCCAGGGACGCAACGATGCAAATACATTTATATTTTTAAGAAAAAGTCAAGCCTCCCCGCTCCCTCCCTTGGAGGGGGGAGGACGGGGGGGGGTGTTCCGGTGTGCACGTCGGGGACCCCGCCTTCCCAGCCGCCTCCGTTCACGCGATCCCGAATAAACCTTGAGAACCAGAGCCGGCTGTTGTGGGGCCCCGCGGCGGGAGGCCGGAGCGGCCGGGAAGGGTGAAGCGCCTGCCTTTTATTGCATAGACCTTTTCAATTGCTTTTAGATCAGGGGGCGGGGGCGCGAACCGGAGGGTCGTGGGCCCCGCTCCCACCGCCCGGGGCGGGGGGGGGGGGGAATGGGATGGAGTCGCGGCTGACCCGGGAGCCCCCCCCCTTCCGGGGAACCGGCCCCTGGCCGACTGGGACGCGGAGCGGGCAGGGCCTCCACTCGGCCCCGCCTTAAGGCAAAGCTCCGCCCCCGGCCGCCGCGGGCGGGGTGGGAGGGGCGGCGCGTGGAGGCCCCGGCCGGCCCGGGCCGCTCCGGCACTTCTCTGGCCCCCCCTCCCTGGGAGGGCGGGCAGGCGGGCCGTCAGAGTAGGCCGGGGCTCGGGTCTCCCGGAGGTCCGGAGAGCAGGGTCGCCAGGCCCGGGTGCACCTGCGCCTGGAGCGGCCCGTACTCCACCAGCTCCCCGTCCACCGTGAGCATGCCGCGGGGCGTGAGCGGCTCCAGGCGGAAGGCGCGGACGGCCGCGTAGCCCAGGTGCGGGCAGCGCAGGCCGAACTGCGCCCCGCGCTCCATGGCCAGGAAGAGGCGCAGCAGCGTGGCGCGCGAGACGCCGGCGCGCACCCAGCACAGGTGCGCCAGGCCGTCGTCGAAGCGCGCGTGCGGGGCCGCCACCAGGTCCGCACTCAGGTGGCTGGGGGACATGGCCAGCACCAGCACGAAGTCCTCTTCCAGCGTCACCCACTCGGGGGGCAGCGGGCTGCCCAACGGAGGCAGCAGGTCATCGGGGGGACCCCGCGGACAGCCCTCAGGGGCTCCAGGGGCGGGAGGCGGGGGTCCCGGGGGCACTTCCGTGATGGGGGACCTGGGGGGAGAGGGCAGCAGCGGGTCTGGGGACAGGGGCGCGTCCCCAGCTCCTCCCCAGTCTCCCACCAGTTCCGGGCTCCTGCCATTGACCGTGAGCTCAGGCAGGGGCTCCGGGGAGCCGGGGGAGACCAGGGCAGGCTGGGTGAGGGGCAGGGGCAGGTCAGACACCGAGCGGTGCAAGGGGGAGTGGGCCACGGGTGGGGCCGGGGCTGGGGCCAGGGTCAGCTCCGACTTGGCCCGGGGCAGGCTGTGCGCAGGGTTGGGCAAGGCCGAGTCCATGTCGGCAGGCAGGTAAGAGAGGCGCCCCGGGTAGGTGTGCAAGGCCGCAAGGCCCAGCACTGTGCCCAGGGTAAATCGGGCATTGCCCAGGGCCCGGAAGCGCTCGCTCTGGATATCCACATCTGACACGAAGCCCCAGGCCACAGCGAGGAAGGAGAAGCAGCGGGTTCCGGAGGCCAGCGTCACCGAGAGCAGGTCGAGAGGATGGCTGCCACCCCGGCATAGCAGCAGTGTACAGTTGAGCAACAGGTCTATGCCCATGGCCGGCTGGAACCTTCGCAGCCACCGCATGGGGAAAGAGCAGAGGGGCTTGGCTGAGACCAGGCAGGCAAGGGGAGATGGCACATGGTCACCTCCAGATTTTTCAGCACCTGCTGTGGGCCTGCTGGGAGTCTGGCACTGTTCTTGCTACTAGGGAACTGGGGGTGTGGGTTGGGGGTGGAGCTATCCATTGTCCCAGGGAGGCTTCAACCCTTAATTCACCCACCCAGAGGAGCCCCACACCTACCCCCCAAACTGGTTCAGTGCTCCAGCCAGCGCATTGCCCGAGCCACAGGGGAGGACGCCCACAGGCATCTTCACAGCCTCCTTCCAGTCAGGGCGATCCAGAAGCCCATTCAGCACCTGGAGGGGGTGGTGTGAGACCACCTGTCCAAGTGCCGGCCCTTCAGGGCTCAGGTTAGGGCAGGGAACTCCTACACTACCTCGTAGAGCAGCCCGTCTCCAGAGACAGTGACAATGCCATCCCACTCGCTCAGTTTCAGCCCCTGCACCAGCTCCCGGGCGTGGTTCTGTCGTTCTAAAGAGGCGTAACACAGAATCAGGCAGGCTGGCAGGCTCCCTCTAGCCTGCAGCCCCCACCTCTCATCCTGGCTGTCCTTACCTGTCTGTATCAGGTTGAAGGACAGCCCAGCTTCAGAGATCATGGGCAACACGTGGTTCATACACTGCTGCCAGGCCAGGCCACGCCCCCCAAAGGGATTGACCAATAGGAGCAACCGTGGTCTCCTAGGTAAGAGGTCAGGGGTAATCTCTGTAGGGGAGGGGGAGAGAGAGGTGTACAGAGGCCAGAGACCCAGAGCCTGCTGACACTAAAATTTTTCTCCCAGCCCTCAACAGGCCAGGCCCTGGGGCCTAGGTGTGCCACTCCGCCCCTCACCTGTCTCTCAGGTGCTGCTCATGACAGGGTTTGAGTGTGAAACCCAGTGCCCTTTGAACACACTAGGGAGAACAAAGGAGCCATCTATCCTCAGACACCTGATACTTGGATCAGGTCTGTCCTGGTGTGCCTGAGGAAAGCTTATTTTGCTAAAAGCCTTCCCTGACCCTCCACAGCCTGGGGGCTCCTGGGGTACCTATTCCCCTTGGGTCTCGCTCAGAACTGTCTGGATCTCGCTTAGTACTGCCTCAGAGACACGTCACACAGACAAAATGGGGGAAGCCACCCTAGCTGCGCATCTCACCCCCATCCCCGGGCAGCGGCACTCCTCGGAGCAGACACTTGAGGGCTGTGGTCCAGCGCTGGGCCTCAGCCCGGTTCTCCTCATAGGTGGCCGCCCCATCTACCAGGAAGGTGTGGGTAGTTCTGCGGCGGCCCCCACGCCGGCCCTGTGGGTAGGTGTAGATGCAGAAGTAGGCTGCGGTGTTCGAGGCGCTGCTGCTCTGCAGAGTGCAACATCCAGACACCTCGGCCAGGGGCACCAGGCCACCCCGGGGTCGTGCTTCTGGCTTTGGGCGCAGCTGCTGGATGTGCAGGGCCTTCAGGGTGAGGGTGAGGGCCACTCGCCGTCCACAGGCTGGGTAGGAACCAAACTCGCCATGTAGGAGAGGGATGCTGGCAGCAGATGGTGGAGCCATGGCCTCAAGCCCTGTCCAGAGGTGCTGCTAGGCCTGTGGCTGTAGCTCCAGGTCAGCAAGTGCTCCAGCCTCTGTGGGAGGAGAATAAGGGTCAGCATCCAAGACCCCCATGACAGGTGGAGGGAGGGACAGGGCCTGTGGATACAAGATGGCAGTACCAGAAACAAGAGAGACATGGACGAAATGCCAGCATCCCAAAGGGCCCAGAGACCTGGGCATGCAAACAGATATTCATTCCTTTATCCCTGTATTCATTATTCAGGGTCCTCTGGGCTAACCATGGTGTTAGGGCAAACACAACAGGAAACAAAGCAGACAAGAATCCCTGCCTTGCTGTGGCTCAAGCGGTAGAGCATTAGTTTTGAGCTGAAGAGTGCAGGGACAGCGACCAAGCCCAGAGTTCAAGCCCCACAACTGACCAAAAAAAAGAAAAAGAATCCCTGCCTTCCCTGGATTTATATTCAAAGCAGAAAACAGAAAACACTCAAAATAAGACACAAGAGCATGTCTGGTTATTACCCAATATACCTTAGGTAACAGAAAACACTCAAAATAAGACACAAGAGCATGTCTGGTTATTACCCAATATACCTTAGGTGGAGAATAAGGCAGAGATTGGATAATGGGGGCATAGGAAGTGCACCCCCAAACACACACTGAGTCATCCGCAGGTGGAGAGAGTAATAAATAACCCTGGACAGGCAGACACAGCAAAAAAGCCTGAGATCATGTTGGGGAATAAGTATCTCACCCCAATGAGAAAAGCCACAGCATGAGAGAAGAAGGGATGTGACAGAGACCACCCAGGGGGGTCACAGAGAAGCCACATGCCAGTGCTGGAATAGGGCAAGGGACAGAGAACTTGTCTCTGAGCACTGACCTGGACGTTGTCAGCCTGATCTTCAGGGAGAGGGCAGGAGGCAGAACAGAGGTCCCTTTCTCCAGCCCTCTGCAAGGCTTCTTCCTCTCACCTCCTTCCAGCTCAGTTCACCTTTGTTCCCTTCCAATGCCCTGCCTCACCTACTCCTCACCCTAGAGTCCAGCCCCCCTGTCCCTATTGCTCACTGGGACAGCTGCCTGAGACACGAAGCCATCTGTGGACTCATGATTAGCAACCAGCTCTGTGCTGTTTGCTAGGGCAACTCCCTGGATGCCCAGGTGTCTGCCTCACCCCCAAACACACAATGCCCCCCCCCCAATGGAGACCTTAACTCAGACTCAAGCACAACGCCCTAGATGTTATCCATTCCTGATCCTGGCTTAATCAATACCTGGGACCCCAGATCTGAGCCTGGACTTCCATCCACTGGTCCTTAACTCACAGACCTAACTCTGTCTCCAGGCCCCTCGGTCGCAGGCCTGGGTCTCCATCCCTAGGTCTTTGCGTTGCAACCTATATTTCCATTTCCCACCCGAGCATTCCCCAGTTCCGAGAGCCCACGTGTCCGCTCTTCTTGGTCCACCAGTGCACCCGACTCCGGTCCCTGCCCCCATCCCCACACCATCCTCACAAGCCGAGTCCTCCTCCAGGCCGGGCCCCCCAAGTCCGCACAACCGCCCCCAGCGGACCTAAGGGTGGGGCGGGGAGGGTGTGCATTCTTGCAGCCAATGGCCGTGTGGCCAACCTGAGATGCACCAATGAGAACGCGCGGGGGGCGGGGCCCCGCGACTCACGAGCTTGGCGCAGGGGGCGGCTACCCGAGCAAGAGAGAAGGGGGCGGGGACTCTTGCACCGCCAGGCCAGCGGCCATCATAAGTGAGGGCACACGCGCAGCCGGAGTGGCGTCACAGGCCCGCGGACAGCACCGCCGGCGCCTTCTTTGTTGAGGGAAAGCTCGGTCACGCCTCACCTCCACCTCCACCTTTCCATCCATTGAGTTTCTAAGGTAGTGAGTGGGAGGTAAAGAATCCTGGCAAAGACCCGGGTGAATGGGAGCTTTTACATTTTAGGGGCAGGGTAAGAAAGACCCAGGACCACAGGGTCAGCCAGACCCAGGGAAGGGGACTGGAAGCCTAGTCCCTCTCCTTCCCTCTCCCCACCCTCCAGGGCTGGGATATGAACTCAAGATCTACTAGCCTGCATGATGAGATTGAAAATAAACACGTCCGAGCAGATCTAACATCAGACCGAACTGCAGGAAGGCAAATGTGGCAAGGAAGAGACCAAAAGTGGAGGTGTGGCTCACATGGTAGGGGAAGTTCATTCACTTCTTGCCAAAGACAGATAGCTGGCTGGAAACCTACAGGAGCCACAGATCCAGACACGTGTCAAGCATTATGCAGACCGAAAGGAGATAAAGCAATGGGAACTCGGAGTCCCCAGAGAAGAAAGGTTAAAAACCCCCGAACCAAAGAGGCTGAGGTTCAGATCCAAAGACAACTTACGATGAAAAGGGATCCAAAAGTTAGATAACAGTTGGAAGAGAAGGAGGAGGCTTCCAGCCCTGTATGGCTTATGGGAAGCCTCCACCATGGCTGGAAAATGGTGGAGAAGAAAGCTATTCACCTGCCTAGAGATGAGCTAAAAGAACCATCACAGTTCTGAGCATTTCAGATGGACGCTTACCTGGTTCTGCTGCTCTTCTGATTTAAAGTGTCCACTCTGTCCAGCAGCAGGACCTCCTTTGCCCTTCATCCAAGGCCATAGGAGGATGGTCTGAGCCAGGAGTAAGGCCTCACTGTCCAGGCCTGTCCTCCAACTCTGTGAAGGAGATGGGAGTTAAGATGAAGCATCCAGCAGATGACAAAAGATGCTGCTACACTCTGTGCCAGAGACCATCAATCACAAGCCCATCAGATTGCTAATTTTAAGAAATAATTAGTATGTACAAAACACTGACTTCAACATTTTTTATTCTCTTGTGTAACCCAGAAAACTACCATATATGAGAGTTGCACTAAAATTTTTTCTGGACACAGGTGGCTCACACCTGGAATCCTAGCTACTCGGGAGGCTGAGATCTGAGGATTGGGGTTCAAAGCCAGCCTAGGCAGGAGAATCTGGGAGATTCTTATCTCCAACTAACCTCCAGAAAACCGGAAGTGGCTTCACTGTGGCTCAAAGTGGTAGAGTGCTAGTAGCCTTGAACAATATAGAGCTCAGGCGCAGTGCCCTGAATTCAGGGCCTGGAATTCAAGCCCCACGAACAACCCCTCACCCCCCCCCCAAAAAAAATTCTTCCAAATAAGGAAAGAACACAGACTCACCTAAGATGACACCACTAAGTAGAGGGGCGGGGAAATGCAGAGCCAGGACCTGCTTTGTTCATTTTAGTGACAGCCTAGCACTGTGTTTCTACTTTTCCCTGGAGCTTCACTCCACTTTGAAATCAGGAATAGGCAAACACCTCAACTACTTGAGCCACACCTCTGATCCTTTTTGGTATAGTGCTTCTGCAGATAGGGTTAACTCTAATCCCCAAATCTGCTACCTCTGGTTCTGGTGTAGCTGGGATTACATATGTTCAACACCACACCACGTTTGTTTGTTGAAATGCAGTCGCCTGAACATCCCCAGGCTGACCTCAAACCAGACTTCTACCTCTGCCACCCATACAGGTGGAGTTACAGATGGGAGCCACCACGACGGTCCCGGAGGCGCTTGTTACCCAACCTCTCTCCACCCCATTTCCCACTCCCGGGCCTCAGCGTGCTTTGTCTGCACCCTAGTACCTTGTATATCCTTCACATCGAAAGTGCTGGGCCAGTTGAACCTGTCGGCCTTAAAAAAAAAAAACAAAAACCAGTCCCTCCCTGAGGGGGGAAGACTGAGGAAGGATCAGGAAACAGGTCGACTGGGGGGCAAAAGAGAAGCAGAAACCCAAGAGGTGGAAACAGACAGAACTACAGATTGAAAACTGCAGCAAGGCGATCTCCGGTTAGACATTTAGCAGGACTTCCAGAGCATCGGAGGCGCCTACTAGTGCGAGAGAAAAGGCAGCTGTGAACCTAAGGAAATGCCGGAAGCCTCGGGGTGAAAGGTTTTTCCAAGGCCCCGCCGGCCCCGCCTCCTCACCTCCACCAACACTCGGCCCGCCAGGTCCTCCCGGAGCCACCGAGAGGCGGTCGGGCCAGAGCGTCGCCGCCCGAGGCCTCCTAGCTCCACGCATCTCTCCAACTCCCGGACTAGATCCCTTTTTCCCGGAAGAATACAGAGAGCAGACACTGGAGCAGGGCCAGAGAGGATCCTGACGTGCGGCCCTTCTATCCTCGACGTCGCGCTCTTTTTCTCCTCTCCCCCCCCCCCCCTCCTTCCCCTTTGGTTGTTCCTCCGCCCTTCTAGCGAGAGCCTCCCACTTCACCATAGAGAAGGCCGGCTGGTGGTAGAGTGTCGCCTCGCGCTTGTGTGACGTCACGAGCGCGCCGCGCGCCGGGGGCTTTCCCCCGCCCACTCCGGCCCCGCTCGCTCTTTCCGCGTCTGGCTGAGCAGGAGGCGCCATCATGGTGAGCATTCTTTGCGGCGTTCACGTCGGGACCATCTGCCTCCATCCTCTCTGGTTTGGGTCTGGGGAGATGCCCGAGGGGTGTTGGGGTTCTGCGGGTGCCCGGAGGAAGCGATTGCCGAGACCAGAGGGATTCCTGTGCGACCCCGGAGACTGTGAAGGGGTCGGAGCCGCAGCCTCGGGCCTCCTGCCGCACCGGTGTCATCGAAGCGTTAAGACGCCCGAGTGATGGACCCTGACCCGCAGGCCGGGAGGTAGCCGAGCCGGGGTCCCGTTCTGGGCGGCAGCTGGCGTTTGCTAACTCTGCCCGGAACTTGTATTAAGTCCTTAATCTGGAAGTCTCGGTCCCCGGCCCGCCCTGGCCGTGTTTCTTCACGGGGCTCGGCACAGCGGGATCGGTGGCCGCAGGTGATGACCGTCTCCTGGCTTTGTTCGTCTGTGAGGAACAGACTGGGAGGAACTGATCAAGTCCGGTTAGCACTTAAAATGCGGGGTCAGTGGGCACTGGCGATGCTCGGCGGGGCGGAGCCGGGGATGTCCGGTGTGGGTGAAGAGTTGAGGGGAGCAGATGCGCGATGTGTTGGAGGTGATCGTGAGGTTTGTTTTCTTAGCCCCCCAAGATACTTGATGAGTGCGATGCTGTATGTGCAGTCTCTTGAAATGTAATTACTCCAGTAAAGACGTGGTGCCAGTTGTTTTGAGACTGACATCGCAAGCTGGCTTTCTAGGTGATTGGAGTGGGAGGGGGCAAGTAATAAAGTTTGTTAGTGCCAAGGGCTTTACACTTTAATCACATTTCCACTTGTAACACTTAGCATGTTGCAACTAGACAGTGTATAAAGCACTTTTATGGTGGTGAATAGGGCCCTTGTGTTAAAATGTTTCTCCATGCTGGGCTGGGAAGATGGCTCAGTGGTAGAGCGCTTGCCTTGCATGCATGAGGTCCTAGGTTCGATTCCTCAGCACCACATAAGCAGAAAAAGCCGGAAGTGGCGCTGTGGCTCAAGTGGTAGAGCGCTAGCCTTGAGCTGAAGAGCTGAGGGACAGGGCCTAGGCCCAGAGTTCAGGCCCCACTACCAGACCCCCCCCCCCCCCCCAAAAAAAAAAAAAGTCTCACAGGGGCTGGGAAGGTGGCTCAGTGGTAGAGTGCTTGCCTGGCATGCATGAGGCCCTGGGTTCAATTCCTCAGCAGCACATACACAGAAAAAGCCGGAAGTGGCGTTGTGGCTCAAGTGGTAGAGCGCTAGCCTTGAGCTGAAGAGCTGAAGGACAGCGCCCAGGCCCAGAGTTCAGACCCACAACCGGACCCCCCCCCCCCCCCCAAAAAAAAAATTTCTCCATGCTGTAACATGTAAATGTTTGTTTGGTCTCCTTTTAGATAGGTGTGATGGGCCTGGGATTTGAGGTGCTATCATCATTGTTGGGGTCCCTGCTGGGTTTTCAGGATAAGTGATCATTGGGGGTGTGATTTGCCAAATTCAGAATTGGGTGCACAGTTGTCCTTTCACCCCCACAGGGAGTCGACATCCGCCACAACAAGGACCGCAAGGTTCGGC